CAGGTGTATCAGATAGCTACCCACGACTCGCTTCAGATGGTTGTTTCTCAATATTCTTATAGGGTGCTTTTTTGGACTTTTCTCAGTGCAACGGACGCATTTGCCATAGGACGTTAGGAGCCAGCCCTAAACCCCTAAACTCTAAATCTTAAACGTCTTAAACCTTCTTTTAACAGATGAAGAAGATTTGGTCTGATGCTGGGGACCTTTTCCTGCCTTTACATCTCCATGTCCAGTCCTTTGCACCTCATCTCCGCTGGCTTAAAGCTAAACCCTGAAGCCTCAAGAGTAGACCTGTACATCACAAAGCGCACAAGCTGTATTAGGATTTGACAGCTTTGTGCAGCTACAAGAACTTGCTGGAAACAGCATAAGCACAAACCTGTATACGATGCAGGCGGCACAATCGGCTCTTGTGGACCCCTGGCTTGCTTCCTTCTTGAAGCATGCCCAACGGAAGTCCTGAATTAAAAAAAGCTAGAAAGGTCAGGAGGATCTCGATTAAAAACCACACAGTCTCTGAGTAAAGTAGACTATGAGACCCCTCGGTGATGATGGGATTTTTCGGTTCCAGCATGGGTACCACGATTCTCGCTTTAGTTTCGAAGACGACTCCCCACACTCAACACACAGCGAGCACCGAGCCAGGCGTCAGGCCCAAACCAAGAATCTCAAAGCTTGTTCCAGGAAACATGAAGCCCTCCTACACAACGCCATACCATACCTCGAACCCTAAGCCTTCAACCCTGAACCCTATAGCCACATCCCCAAACCTGAACCCCTTAAATCCTAAACCCTGTATAACCCTATAATATAGTAGTTTCTGTTTTATTTTCCTCTATCCCTATATTACCCCTATATCGTTTGTTTTGGTGTATACCACCCTAACTGCAGCCTCGGTCCTCAGGATCTCTTTGACCCTGTGGGAGCCTTGGAGGTAACCCGCGGCCAACCACTGTGCCTTCATCGCAAGTGGGGGGAACAGGGAGGGATTCCCATAGGGTCCATGTGGGCCCTACGGGTGCTACATAACTATTTTGCGGCTGGTGTATATCCTATGCAGCTACATGGACCTCTTGGGATAGCGTAATGTAAGTCTGCTTGGAATGACGTAGGGAATCTGAAGGTGCCACGCCATGTGTGTGTGTATATCTATCTATCTATCTATCCATTCATTCATACATACATACATACATACAGACAGGGCGTGAATTTTTGGATCGGGATACTGTGGAATTTTAATCGGGTTCGCAAAAAAGACTTCAAACAAGTAGCGTTTGAGGGTTGTAACGCAGTCACATATGTTCTCAGCTCAAGGAGTCTAGAGTCCTCTCGGTGCAGCTGCGCAAAGCCGAAGAACACATCTTGTGCACAACCCATGTGCCCATAGGTACTGTTTCGTATTATGACCAATCACCATAATCCCTGATGAATGAAGCATTCGCTATGGTCGCGGTGAAGCGTGGGGAGCTTAGAAGATGGCTAAGGTGGATGCGTTTGGCGGGACCCTTTGTGCGCCCTCGCGAGGGCGGAATCGACCTTCCGAAGGATGCGTGGCGAAAAGCATTTTTGCTGCTCTGGGGCGTTCGGTTGTAGGTTGATTCGTGTGTTGTTTGGAAATTTGAGCGTTGAAGGTTTGGAGCGCAGGGCCATGGTCTACGACTTGGGCTTTGTGCAGACTTGGGGTTGTCTGGATCGACCCTGGGCTTTCTGTCATTCAGCCCTCAGAAGGCATGATCATGGACGTTGTTTTCTCCCATGTCCAAGGCTACTATGCTTTTGGAGTGTATGTTTGGGGGGACTACTGGCTCCAGGAAAAGTTTAAAGGGCCCAGGGATGTAGATCATGGTATTTCAGGCTTGGCTAGGGTTCAGGGTTTGGAGATTTTGGTTCAAGGTATGGGTTGAGGTTCGTTGCGCTAAGCCTGCCTCCCTGTGTGCCAGGGCATTCTCATACGGTTTTGATGCTGAGCAACGAAGACCTTAAGCTACAGCGAGGTTCTAGAACTGTACTCGGACTCTGAATTTCTCAAACACCAAGGTGTGCTCCTAAGAACATAGAAATGTCATGGGGTTCAAGTCTGTGAACATGATCTCCTGCAGGGTCTGCCAACCCAACTTGCTGATGCCCATGTGAAAGACGTGGCGGATGATGACCATGACCAACTGCAGAGTCTGAAGTCAATGAATCAGCGCTACAAAGACCTACTACTCTGGGCTTCACCCCTCCGCAAGTCCCAAACATTCCTGCTTTCAAACCCCTAAGCCCCACAGAGGCCCTGAAGCATGTCTTCGCGGGCACGACGAAGAAGGGCGTCGGGACCCAGCTGTTGGTGGCCAACGCCGTCCTCACGGCCCCTGTGCCTGCAACCAGATCTTCAAGCTTTGGCTGAAGTTGTCATAATACAACAGTCGTCACAGTAGTAGTCGTTGTCGTCGCAGCGGCGGCGGCGGTAGTGATGTTGGTAGTACTGGCAGCAGGTGTTGGATGAGGAGTAGAAGGTCCCACCATTTTGACATAGTAGGTATTCGAGGGCTCCTGAGACCATAGAGGGTAGCAATGTGGCAGAGTCCTCTCTTCTAAGCCTGCTTGCTTGGCAGTTCTTCAAATGCTCACAAATTAATTGGTGTTCAATTCCCAATCGAGATCCCCGCAGTTAAGCCTCACCTATAGCTGCATTCCTTTGGCTGCCCCTCCTTTGAGAATCCTCTTCCTGTTTCATGTAGCAGTCAAAAACATTGTTTGGGTGATTTCAGGTTGCGATTTTAGCCCAAACCTTCCGGCCTTGGGTCTGGAATTAGGAGCTGGGAGTTTACAATTAGCACGAGTAGTTAAACAGTGGAGCTGGAAGGCAAAGACGTGATCCACTAACAGGCTGAGCAGGGTAAATTTTGGCCAAAGCTTATCTTACGGCTTAGGGTTTAGGTCATTTACTCAAGGCCCTGAAGCCCACATCCCTAGTTTGGTACCAACCCAAGGTCTATGCGTCCTAAGCCCCAGCCCAACTTTACCCAATACCCTAAAGCTTACATCCCTAGACCTAGGTGCCATAAATCGCAGCCGTTTCGACCCTGAATCCCAAGCCCCAAGTGCTGAATCGCGGATATGCAAAGTAGCTTGAACCAAACCTAAGATGCCTACATAATTCCCACATGGTCCATGTTATCCTCATGAACCCTTATACATCACTTCCACATGATTGCGCTCACAATCCCTAGGAAGTCCCTGTCTAAAGCTAAAGCCCCTTCCCTCACTGGACATTTGAAGCTTTGACCAGCAGGTCTATGCGCTGGCCAAGGATGGCCTGATCGACCCATCTGCATGGCGACTTGGCTCATGGACGGGGTGATGCAGCACTTGGGGAGTTATTATATGGAGGGTTAGAAATGTTCAGTATCCTACCTCTCACGAGCAGTCAGAAGTGCATGTGAGGCTCTGAGTGCGGGCTATAGAGGAATCCTTTGCGCCGGAGATCGGTGGGTGGAGCGTTCTTCTTGATTCTTTTGTGACTTTGTTGGAAAGCTTCTTATCACATAGATGGCGTTTGAACGCACATCTCTCCCCTCTTCAACAGTAGAATCACGCCCGAACATTTGAACGAATGGGCCCAATGGAAACTGCCCTTCAATACGCAACTTTCTCGACTCTGTAGTCTAGGATTACAGTCAACACTTTGCCAATTTGCGTCTTGGGTGGTGTACAGGGCTTCAGAGATAGATTTCAGTGCCAACAGCTGGGAATCGATCTCATCTGCTATATCGTCTTTGACTGCTACTCCTCCACCTGCCCCTAAGTATTACTATTACGATGACCGCTATTACTTCTGTTCTGCTTCTGCTTCAGCTACTTCCACAACTATTGCTGTGATTAGCATTGCATGTGCTATTGACATTGCTATTATCATCATTAGGACTACTAGTGCTGCTCCCCCTGATCCTACTAAAGCTGCTGCTGACAATACTGCTGCTGCTTCTTGTACTACTACTACTACTAC